ACACACACACACACACACACACACACACACACACAAAAAAAAAAAAAAAGCCTGCACAAAAAATCCCACTCACTTTTAAATTAACCATGAATTTGGTTAAAAATAAAAACAAAAACAAGTATCATGTGATTCCAAGAAGAACCCCAAGGCCCACGTGGCAAGCATTTAATAAAGGTCTAATAGGTTTAGATTGAGATAGTAAAAATAAAACAAACCTGCTACACCAGGCAGAGGAACACCAGGCAGAGGCATAAATTTTAACAGTGTTAGTGGCACACTGTTTAAAAACCTGGCAGGGAACCTCTATGCATCTATTTTGTTCTGGTTAGATTTTATATTTTATAGGCATGTCACAACCTATAAAATGGTTATAAATACCAAGGTCTATATATTTTCTGTAAGAGATTGAGCCTTATGCAATATGAAACACTAGTTCAGAGGATGATTCTTTCCTACCAAGACAGAGCCAGCACTCCCAATTCTTGTCAAAATGAGACATTAATGTGCAAATATTACAATGAAATAAAGCAAAACTGAGGTGACATGTCTTTAAAAAGTTGTCTGATTGTTTGTGTATTTTAATTTCACAGAGAGAATTCTTGAAGAGGTGGGTAGGTGTTATACCTATGGAGGAAAAATCAAGATACACACTAAGTATAAATACAACAGCACTGATGTTTTAAAATTATAGGTAATAAACCTTTGACTTTTCCAGGAAATAACAGAACATCACATGGAGGTTAAATTGATTTTGTGATTAACGAAGTTAAGCAAAAAGGCTTTCTCTGTTTTAATTATTCTGAACAGCATTACTTCACCATCTTTTATTGGACATATAACAAGTGTTATTTTTTAATAGGTCAAGTTACTGCACAGTCTTTGAGTCTCCTCTGACAGTTTTAATGACACACCAAAATTGACACGCAAATTAAAGGAATCTGGATGTTCCTTTAAAAAACATATATATATGTTTTTTATGTTTTTTAAAGGAACATCCAGATTTATATGTTTTTTAAAGGAACATCCAGATTCCTTTAATTTGCGTGTCAATTTTGGTGTGCAATCAGGCAGGCAGGCAGGCAACTGGTTGGGAGCAAGCAGTCCAGAATTGTGAGAGGGATGTCTGACTGCCGATTTAGGCCAAATCCCAGGGACATCCCCTGAGGGATCCCAGATTGGAGAGGGTGCAGGCTGGGTTGAAGAATACTGCCCCCAGTGCAAAAATTTTATTCACTGGGCCTCTAGCTCTATATAATAAAAGCCTAATATGCAAATTGTTCAACCTGGCATTCAACCAATCACTATGACATGTGCTGACCACCAGAGGCAGGCGCAGAACATAGCAGACGTTGGGGACATGGCACTGACAGCGGGCAGCAGTAGAGGTGGTGCTGGCCCTGATGGACCCCAATGAGAGTGGGACCATGGTGGAATGGTGGAGCAGGTGAGCAGGCAGTTCCAGGCCATGGTGGGGTTCCAGGCAGGGCTCCAGGGCTTTGAGGCTAGGGGTAAGAGCTGGAGCCTGATCCCTACAGGCCACCCCAAGGGATCCCATCTGTGCACAAATTCATGCACCAGGCCTCTAGTATGAATATAATCGTCTTTACTTATAAAACTGTAACAGATGTTAAAATTTTACATACATGTTTTAATTTAATTCTTATAAAAATGCTGTGATGTTGCATCACTATATTCATTTTGTGCATGGGGAACCTGAGGCTCAGGAAGTTTAAATCACCTTTTGTAGGTCACACAATTGGCAAATGATATGACAGCAAATTCAACTAAATTCTGTCTGACTCCAATACCTACGGCCCTTAGTTGCACACTTCTTTGTAATACACTTTGAAACTAATTCCCAAACTCTAAAGAAATGTCTTAACTCCCTTTATTCTTTCTATTAGTTCATCAAATAACTCTTCAATCCAGGGATTCATAAACTTGCTTATCTAAAAATATAATTAAAAATGCCTGCCCCCCATTTCAGATCTTCTAAATCAGGTGCTCCAGAAGCAGGCAGATAATCTATATATTTAACAAGCTTCAGATGAGTTTAGTATTTAAGTTCAGGTAACAAACTTCTGATGTGTTTAGGAAACTCTCCCAAGTCCTAGGTTTTATTTGCTCCCTTTTAAACACAGACCACCAGACAACTATCATAGATGACATGTATTCAAATTTGACTCAAACGAACCCACTGTTGGTGCCCAGGATCAGAGCCCCCAGAATCTGCTTGCATTTCCTGTAGAGTATTCCTATTTCTTTGGGATATTTCTACCACTCAAGTAGAAGGTTCAAGTCCATAGTCATTTCACTTGTAACAAGTGCTTATTAGATAAAGTGCCCACTAGATTCTCAGTATCATGCTAAGCATTGTGAATAGTACACAAGTAGAAAAAAAAAATACTTGGAATTAAAGAAGAACTATTTAAGGCAGGCATATTTTAAGAAAAAATATGAAGGTAGTCTCCAAAAAATCAGAACTGAAATATCAAGGAAAAAGGAAATAAAAAGAAGAGTAATTTCAAATTAAGTTATTTATTTTTAAGATTTCCCCATTGATTCTTTGAGAGAAAGAATGAAAGAAAGAATGGAAGAGGGAGGGAGGGAGGGAGGGAGGGCAGGCAAAACACTGATATGAGAGGAATACACTGGTTGGCTGCCTCACCGTGGCCTGGGGATAGAGCCTCCAGCAAACCTTTCCATATACTGATTGACACCCAACCAACTGAGCCACACAGGCTAGGGCTCAAATTAAGTTATTTTTTAAATGTTGGAACTAATCGTGTCCTCACTAAGGGTGAAAATCACAGTTACCTTTATTTAAGAGACTTTTTTCCCCTATAACTTCTATCAACATCAACTCTCAAATTAAATATTCATTGAATGTGAAGTGAGAAAAAGGAAGATTATTTATAATCCCATACTGTTTCCAATAGTCCTTTCTAAAAATGAACCACAAATAAAACACAGATATCAAAAGCTCCACTACTGAATTTCTTATTATAATTGTTTCCTGCTATCAAATTCATTTCTGATTAGTTTCCTTTGTAGTACCTGGTATATTTCTACAATCACTCTGAAATGAAGGAAAAGAAGATATAACTTCTCAAGTTTCCTTTAAAAAGTTTCCTGATTTTCCCTTCCCCTCCCCCATCCTTAGTTACCTTTTACAGTGGGGAATCATATTGCTTTCTTTGATGTATTGTGTACATTATTCTAGCTGTTAAAGATATTTTAACAGTGATGTTAACATGCTTATTTTAATATCTGAATCAATTACCTTAACAATATACAACTGTGTCTTAAGTTTATAGAAACCTCAATGCAGTTAAAATAAAAACAAAATTCCTCAAATAGTTTCTGGATTATATCATATGTAACCAATTTCCATTGAAATGCAAGCTTAGGGAGCAAAATTCCTTATGAAAAACTTAAGGCTTTGAAACTGAGTTTAAAATTAAAGGGAAAATAAAAACTATTTTGATTTCAATGTCTACTGTAGACATAGCAGAATAGTTATTATTTATAAAAGCATCAGGCTCCCAAGGTAAAGGACTTTAAAACATACAGTGAAACACTACATTTCTCTGAGTAATGTGATAGACAATCAGCCTTCCTGACACAATTGCCTGGAGATAGACACACCTGTTCATGCCTTATATTCATCCTGGGCTACTTTCACTTCCTCTGGAGGGCTTTTGAACTTGGATTTGACATCTCTTAAATTTATGCTTTCTCTAAATGTAAAGGGGTTTCTTTTCTTACAGTTTAGCCTTACATGGAGTTCAAATCTAACTTAGATTAAAGAGAAGTAGTCTAGGTCTTAGAAATTTAATGTTTGTTCTTGATCCTTTTTTTCTCTTTTGTTTTTATGAGGTTCAACTAAAAACTCCAAAGTGGGATATAATGGCTTTAAAGACAGAAAGGAAATAGTCTTTATTCTTTTTTAAACTGTAAAAAGCCCCCAAGGCTCTTTTGTAGAAAGCCCACAGTAGAAACACTCCCTCAAAAGCCACCTTTTTCTTCACAATAGCCTTAAAGGAGACAGTGCTCAGAAAAGATGACAGCACCAAGTGCATCTGATGTCAGACCAAGAAACAAGTTAAGTGGTTTATGGCCAAGATCCCTGATTACTCTATGTACTTATCAAAACAGGGAAGTTTTTTCACCAACACAATGTTTTTTTTAAGGTCATTTTCTCTCAAATGCAACAATAACCAACTCATCCGCGCTAAAATGGAAAAAAAATGAGAAAAATTATCAGATGAGACATAGTAAGAAATAATCCTATGACATCATGGAAAAAGGAGAAAAGGGATTATGAGAATGAAAAACATCTGAATTATGATATAAGGGTTTCTTCACATCAGTTTAAGACTCTGACATTCAAAAACTTATAGCCATAGAACATAAAAATAAATCATAATAAATCACACCAAATAATACATCTTTATCAAAATTAGCAGAGTACAAATGCTATTAATTTACCAAGTATTTATTGAGCATTGTTATATCAGAAGAAGTGTATGCACAGAAAAACACTACAAAAGTCCCTACATGTAAGATGACCTTACATTCTTGAGGGAAACTGAATCCTCTCGTTTTTGTGTTCCATGCTGTACAGATCCTGGAAACTGTGAGATCTGAAGGAATGGGTGATTTGTAGCATGCAAAGGTTTTGGTAACAACTGTCATTTAATTAAGAGAATAGAAGGCCTCTATGGTTGAAGATCCAGAGATTACAGCACATTCTCCTTCTTGATCAAGACAGAACTCTTCCTAATTTTGAAAATTTAATTTAACTTCTTGTAACAAATGCATATAGACTTCCCATGGGCAAAATAGCAATTTTTTAAGATGTTTGAAGTAAAATATTTCTAGCACTATTTAAGCCTATATTTAATATAGAGTACTTTATTAAATGGTGTTTTCTTTAAGTATTAACATTATATTTCCGATAATAAAACAACCAAAACAAATTGTTTCCCAAACCTTACCTTGGACAGTCAAAGTAGCTGATGCTTCAGCTTTTCCAACCATATTTTCTGCAACACAAGTATATGACCCCATGTCACCAGCCATCACCTTTCGTATTTTCAAAGTATGATCATCTCTGATTTCATATCTAGTGACAGAACAAAAGAAAGCACAATTAAGTGACCTTCTATTTAAAGATCTCATTACAAACAACATATATCTGGGCATCAAATCACACATAACATTTGCTTCAGGAAATTTAAAACAATAGTTAAAATGCACCATTCCTCTAAGTAAGCACACACAGAGAAAAGAGCTTGTTTTTATTTATATTTTAAATGTTTTATTGATTTCAGAAAGAGGAAGGGAGAGGAGGAGAGAGATAGAAACATCAATTATGAGAGACAATCATCGCTTGGTTGCCGCCTGCACAGTCCCTAATGGGGATCAAGCCTGCAACCTGGTCACATGCCCTCACTGGGAATCAAACCGTGACCTCTGAGTTCATGGGTAGATGCTTAACCACTGAGCTACACTAGCCAGGCGAAAAAAACTTGTTTTTAAATTTGTGTGGGCTAAAATACTGAACTAATTTTAAAAAAATATGTATTTTTTAAAGTTGGAACTTGTTTGTTCCCTCAAACAACTGTACTCATACTAAAATTAAAATATAGTGACCATTCAATCTATATATGCCAGACATAAAGTATCTTATATAGGTTTTTATCTTTTAAAATTCTTATAACCATTGTAGGAAGTATTATGCATTTCCATATGCAGACGAGAAAAGAAAGCGAGGCAGCGGGGACAAAGTGACATGCTTGGTGTTGGTCTCAGCTAGTTTAGCGGCAGGGTTGATAACTGAACTCAAGACAGTCTCATTCTAGAGTTCATCTGCCTTGCCTCATCTTCCTTCCCATTCAATGTTGGGTTTCTCTTGAAGTTTCACCTTAGTCCTCTTTCTACATAATATAGCTGAGTTATATTATCTACTACAGTTTATATATTCATTGACCACCCAAATATTTTCAATTCTTATTTCATCTAAGCTCCAAATTCATAAACCCTGATGATTAATAATTACACATCATATCCCACAGGCACCTAGTATTTTCTGACAAACAAATTCCTTTTCCTAACACCATCTACCCATCTTCCTTCACCAGTTTCCTGTCACTAACAAATCATCCAATTGAGTTTCAGAAATTTTTTGCCACTTTGAACCCCTACCTCCTTTTCATCCCCCCAGACAGAAAATTTACATCACCTTACAGGGACAACAACAATGGTGTCCTGAGACTAGTATCTCCTCACATATATATAATATCCATAGTCCAAAAAAGTTATTCTCTCTAAAAAGGAATCCTGTTCATAGTCTTCTTCTTGGGTCATAAGTGAGCACATAATATGATTCAAAATTCTTTAGTCTATTAATACAAGTCTCTGATAATCTGGCCTCAGTATTTCTAACCTAATAGCCCTTAACTTCCTGCCACATGTCCTATGCCATAGTCATGCTAAACTTCCTACCGTTCAGAACATGTAATGTTATTTCTTAGCTTTGCATGTATGCTGTGATGTCACATCCTAGAATATTCTTCTCTTTCGTGCTTATCACATTTATATAATTGCTTACATGTCACTTTACTTTCAGAAGTCTCTTCTAATTTACTGCTTCCAAATGCCTGCCTTTATGGGACCAAAGAGTTTACTGGGTTATTCTGTACCTATCCAGATATGTTTCCTTCTGAGAGCTCTCGAGAGCAAAATGTATGTCTAAACCACTACTCTAACCCCCAAACGTAGCAGGTGGTCAGTGCATGCTTATTGAAAGAATAGACACACTGGCAACCAAAACCTAAAGGCATTGCCCTAAAGCTTCATTTTCTTGCCTCATTCCTTAAGGCTGTGAGCCTATTATGCCAATTTCAGGATTTGACAATATCAGGAAATTTTGATGTCTTCTGTTCCTGGTGATGCTGTAGCTAAGAAAAAGGAAGCTTGCTTTTTAATTGGCTCACAGGTATATATTTATGCTGTTCCTCCCTTCCTTACCTCACCAACTCCCAAAAAGAAATGACTATTAACTGTGGTCTGGTTGAACAGAAGAGAAACCTGTGTAAGGAATATTGGATTTTATAAGAGTTCCCTGGACAGCCAGGGCCATGCATGTACAGTCCTTTCCCGCAATCCTCAGAGAAAGGATGGCAGCCTCCTTATTCTACTGATCTCTAGTACCGTGTCTCACCCCGATCCAGAAGTCAAAGATTCTAATGACATGCATGTGAATCAAGTTCTGATGAACACTGAAGACTCTCAGAGTAGACGAATCACATAATTACACTCTGATCGTACCTGGATTTGGGCAGTTCCCCGTCATCTTTCCTCCACCGCACTGTAGGCACAGGGTCCCCTCGGGCCTCGCATTTGAACTCCGCACTGTCATCCACAGTGACTGCCAGGTTACTGGGTCTCTTCACAAATGATGGTCTCTCTGAAATTAGAAAAAGCCTTCTCAAAAAAGAAATAAATGTAAACTAAAACTATTTTATATGTTTAGTCAGAACAGACTCATAATTTGACATATAATTTTGAAATTTATTAGATATAGTTTCCTACTTCTTGAAGCTCCTCCCCAGGTTTGGGGTTCCCTCCTAGTTTTGCCCCCTTGTCTTGCCTATGATGTCTTGAGCAACATGCTTTGCTAATTCCTTCCCTCCCCTTCCCACCCCCACAATGTTGGTTAAGCTTCCTAAGAAAGGTCATGTCTTCCTCCCTTGTATAAATATCCGAAATAACACTGAGGGAGAAGCTTCAAGGGGGCCGATGAGATAGAATCCCACTTACCTAACACGGTCAGCTCCGCCACTTCACTCTCACGTTCCCCAACCATGTTGGTGCCGACACACACATACTTTCCAGCATCACTCTTGCGGGTGTAAGTAATCATGAGTTTTCCTCCTCGTATCTTAAAAAAAAAAAAAAAAAGTGTCACATGCATGCAGTTAAAATCACTTTTGCTATATTTTTGTGACAGAGGCTTTCCTAAGTGAAGTCTACTGCCTAAGCATATAAGCAAAGCTTAATTATGTGAAAAAAGCAAGTGCGTAGTATTTGTTATAGTTATAGTAGTAACTTTAAATAGAGTTTACTCCAAAGGTACATTATAAAGAGAGGCAAAACATTTCTACTTGCCTACATTTCTTATAGAGTTATTATAGTCTATATAACTAGAAATTTGTATTTCTGAACAGGCCAACTTCTTTCACATTGTGTAGTTAAATGAAAACCAAAAAATTGTACAAATAATTCAGTTGGTGCCAAAACTGGTATGGCTCAGTGGATAGTGACAGCCTGCGGACTGAAAGGTCCCAGGTTTGATTCCGGTCAAGGGCATGTACCTTGATTGCGGGCACATCCCCAGTAGGGGGTGTGCAAGAGGCAGCTGATCGATGATTCTCTGTCATCAGTGTTTCTATCTATCCCTCTCCCTTCCTCTCTGTAAAAATCAATTAAAAATATATATTAAAAAAAATTCAGTTGGGAAAAAGGAAATTCCTAATATCTTCTGACTATAATATAAACATGCATATTAACTATACGTTATTTTAAGAAAGCATATTCTAGTATTATACTATGTGGAAATAAAAATGTCTCTATGTAATTTGCCAAAATTGCTTTGAAGGATTATTTCTTAATTGCCAAAACGTTACAGAACCTGACATCCTAAAAAACAAAGGAGTTGCTGCTGCCCAAGCAGTTTCTTGGGGACTCAGGAGGTGAAGGCTGAAGAGATACCAATAAATCATCTGGAAAGTCATTCCGGTACGCTCCTGAACATTTAATTATTTGAAGAAGAATTCATTATAAATGTAAGCAGATTTCTAGTACAATAAGTAAGCTGAAGTTAACCAGAACTAAGATTGGGATGTGGAAACGGAACTATCTTTACTTAATTCAATATCATTTTGGTGGGGAGCTGAGTTTCCATTGCCCAGGAATATGTTTAATGCTCCGGACCGCAGAAAGGTTTTGACAGGGATAACTTTCAAATGTTTATTCACAGAGGTTTTGGCCTCAGAGTTTTCCTCTGTTGTGTATCAATTAAACAGAGAAGGGAAGAAATAAATAAAGGAGAGAGTGTTGGAGGTGGTAGGAAACCATTCAGACATAATTATTTCTCATCATGCACTAGGAGTTTGCTGAAACTACTACTTTACTATTTTGGAATACCTAAATAGCCTTATTTCAACCCAAATTAGAAATTATGTACTGGACAACCCAAATATTAACAGAGTTATTTTAATTTCTGTGGCTTTAGAAGTTGACATTATTTTCAGTCATGTTTCTTAGAAAATGATCATGAGTTTCTAAGTACCATTATAAAAACCATCCAGGGACTTTCCTCTGCATTTTTTTTCACGACCCTCTTCTGCATTCGGAGAGTAATGCCTGCATATAGTAGTCTATTAAAACATTTTTGTGGAATGCCACCTGCTTTTTCAGACAAAATCTAGTCTGGTATGGAATGAAACATTTCTATAAAGTTTGTAGCAATTAATGGGATGTGACCTCATATTTTACTGACAGCTATATCATTTCTCACATGGGCATCATCTCCTTAAAAGGTCTCAAAGTGAGATTCTTAAATGTATACCCAGCTTTGAGGCTATTGGGTCATAATGCTAATCATCGTATGTTTTAGTAAGTTGTTTTTGTGTGATCTATCATTAAAATGTTGATCTTTAGTATAAATCTGCTGTGAGACTGTCAGGGGAAAGAATCATAATTCATTTACCACTTAAGGAATGAGCAGCTCAGAAAAGTATAGCTCTTCCTTCCATATACCTCCCTATGCCCACCAACACAATGTTTTAGGTATGCTTTCAACTGTCAGACTTCCTCCCTAGCTGTGAGCTCTGAGGCAGAGAGGCATATCTGATTCCTCTTTATTGCACTGGGACCTGTCACAATGCAGAGTAAATATTTGTTAAAGGAAAGTGACTTGCCCAATGTCACACAGAAAGTTGTAAGGGAGCTGAGATTTTACTTAAGATATGTGATTTTGGCTGTATAAGATGCACAAGAATATGACAAGAAATGCACAGCCCAGAACTCTCAATTTGAGTTGAATAAACTTTGAGTTGTTGAAATACAGAAAATTTGAGTACCATAACATCAAGATCTTTCTAAGAAGATTCATTGCAATCTTTCACCATGTATATATTTTGAAAGACTTACATAAACATTTCCACAATCTTGAGGAAACAAAATCATTCCAGAAAAAGGTGACAAATTCTATTATTTATTTTGTTTTATTATATTTTCTAATTTCTATAAGAGTTTAATTAAGCCAAATTGATGACATGCTAGGAAGTAAGATCCGGAGAATGACAATTTTACAGTTCCTTTTATTTATTTATTTTATTAAAAAATTATCTTTACTGTTCAAATTATCCTGATATCACCTTTTGTTCTTCATTGACCCCCTCCACCCCACTCCTCTCATCAAGCTAGGCCTTTATTACACTATTAACTATGTTTATTGGGTTATGTCCATATTAGAGGCCAAGTGCACGAATTCGTGCTCAGGCGGGGGTCTCTTTGATGGCCTGCAGGGATCGGGCCTAAACCCACAGTCCAATGCTGCCTGGAGCTCCTACCTGCCACTCCTGCTCATCCCTGCCCCACTGTGCCTGCTGCGGGATTGAGCCAAATCAATCCCAGTGGAAGAGGCTTGCAAGGGGAGTGGCCTGCAGGATTGGGGTAACACCAGCTCTCTGACATCCCCAGAGGGGTCCCAGGTTGCAAGAGGACATAGACCAGGCTGAGGGACCTCACAGGTACACTATCAGGCCAGGGAGGGGACAGGGGAGGGCTCCAGGCCTGTCCGGCCCATCTTGTTCAGTCCTAGATCGGGTGGGACACCAGCAGCAAGCTAACCTCCTGGTTGGAGCATCTGCCTCCTGGTGGTCAGTGCACATCATAACAAGCGGTTAAGCAGCCTTAGCATATCATTAACATAGGATGCTTTGATTGGTTGTTTGGCTGTTCTGCTGTTCTGTCGATTTGCATGTTACCCTTTTATTATATAAGATGTGCATATAAGTTCTTCGGTTAATCTCCATCCTCCCCTCCAATTCTGTTCTTGATATGGAAGTTAAGTGATCTGAGATGTTGTCCTACATGCTCCTTTTGGGTTAGTTAACTTTGGACAGAACATTAACCCTCCTGTATACCTCAGAATCTAACCTAAATGTCCTTGCATATTTACGTGGTGAGTTCATTTCTAAAGTGATTGCAACAAATAACAACTTCATCAAAGTAAAAGAAAATAAATGCTTTATTCTTTTCTAAAAGCTAAGTCAATGAATTATAACTACAATAAAATATAAGGCATTTAAAATAATTTTAAAATATATTCAAATACCAAGAATGAGTCAAAGAATGATAAAATATAAATAATTTATAGCTTCAGTAACATCGTACTAATTTATTTTACAAATCTTAAGTACTTGGAATGAAGAGTTTTAAATCATCTTGCTTAAGCACATGTGGGACACCAATTACTATTATATATTACAGCTCACTGCTGCTATATTTTGAAAGAATCTGTATAGATGGAGAAGGGGAATTTAGTTACCAAGAGTAATGAGGAGACAGCCAGGAGATTCTCAGTCATGGTAAAATTCCTACGCTGAGATGATAGGAGGTAACAATAACTGAGGAGAACTAAAAAATCAAAGAAAGCTATTAAGTCCTAAATAGTGTGTTTTGCACACCCTATTACCATTGCCCCAACTATATGTTATATTTGGTTCAATTTTGGAAACATTTTCTAACTCAATATAACAGGAGACTTATGCTTTGGGAACACATAGCTATATTTTTGTTTTTAATATAAATAGTTGTTTCATGTAAATTTACTTTACAGACTTCTTTGTTAAATCACATCTATTATTCAAATTAAAAGTAACTCATCAGGCATTGTACAAAATATCTTCTCTGTACATTGTAAATAGCCAAACTATAATAGGATGAGCCAACATGACAAATTTTTTCTACATAATTTTAAAAAACTGAATCAGGGATATCTTGAGAAACTTTTTCCCCCATAACATCGTAGTATAACTAAAAGCAAACATTTGTCACAACTGTATTCTTTATATATTAGTTGTAAATGAATGGGAAAAATAATATAACTGAGTTCTGAAAAAAATATTAAACACAAAAAATATTTTTAATATGAAAAGTACATTATTTTTCTTGTAAACCAGCATAGATATTATTCATTATGGCTAAATGAAGTCAACTAAATTGAACCTTTGTTTTTCTACTCAAGCTATTTTTCACCAACATTATCTAGGTTGAAACCAAATTCAAAATCTAAATATATAGCAAAAATTATTTTAAAGATTTTTAAATCCAAGATAATCTTTCAAATTGATCAAAAATAGATACAACCACATAGCAAAACGAAGTGAGCATGGGCCCTGGAGTCAGATGCCTCATACTATATTTTAGGCAAGGTATAAACTCTTCTGTACCTCTCTTTTCCAAGGCTGGTATGAGGATTACATGAGGTTAATTATCTAAAGCACTTAAAAATATCTGTACATTATTATCATTATAATTATTAATTTGATATTTAAGAGACATTTGTTTAATGAAAATAATATTTCTGTTTGGCTACATCCAGAAGCTAGAGGTCTGGTGCATGAAATTCGTGTAATGGGGTGAGAAGGGGAGGTTGTCTCTCAGCCCAGCTTGCACCCTCTCCCATCTGGGATCCCTCAAGGGATGTCCGACTGCCCTCTCACAATCCAGGACTGCTGGCTCCCAACTATTCACCTGCCTGCCTTCTTGATTGCTCCTAACTGCTTCTACCTGCCAGCCTGATCACCCCCTAACCACTCCCACGTCAGCCTGATTGATGTCTAATTGCTCCCCTGCCAGCCCATTTGCCCC